CTGAAGCTCGACAGCCAGATGTTTGCTGCCACAGATCCCTTGTGCTCTCTGTAACAAAGATTTGCTCACGGTAACTAACTGTGAAGGTTGATGGTGAGATTCATTGTTTTCTATACACAGTGTAACCTATGGTGTTGTTAGAATTTTGGATGACTAACGCATCTAGGAAAGCTAAGGAATTATTTGCCTCTAATTTACACATCAATACATCATTCAGGAACTGAGCAGGAAGCAAATTATTAGTCTGATGCCGTGCCAACCCAAATACCATATTACTGTCATAACATGGGCACAGCATCCAACAGTTCGACGGCCGACAGTACTTTTTAATTGCACTTCTACCAGAACCATTGCCACTAATTAAAATATATATAAAATACACTTTACGACTAATGGTGATGACTTGCAATTCTAGCCCTAAGTAAAGATCAGCTAGGGCTTAAGTTTATTCCTTCCATAATGCTGCTCCTCTAGTTATTACAGAGTTCTATCCGGTAGCAACCATTAAATCTTATATGCTCACCATAATAGTAGCGAGCTTGCTTTAATTGGTATGTGACATAAGTAATTAATATTAAGTCGCTGTAAGTTAAAACAGGAAATTCCCTAACATTTTAAAGTCTACATTTATATTTCTAAAGTCTGCTTGCCCTAGCTCTATTTAGATTGTTTTCCCTAGCATACTCAGACAAATCATTATTTGTCTCCATATTCCCGTCCCTTATTTTTGTGTGGAATTTACTAATTATAGCAGCATCCACAGCAGTCATCAGATCATCAAATGTGTAGAAGCCCTGTTAAAGTAATTTTGATGAAATATTTTAAATTCAGTTTTTAAAATGTCATTTACCACCTCTACTACCCATATCGACACATAGTCACAGCTCTGGATTTATTAGCATATCTTGTCATTAACTGAGATTCACCATCTGCTGGAGACATTCCTGCGACCCTTAGACATCCACATCTATCCTCGATTACAAATCAAAATGCAGATGCGTTGTCACCCGTGAGGACTAAGATCATTTTCTCGTTTCCAGTAAAAAAGGGTCTCCGGTTGTCTACACTCACCATACAAAACACAGCAGCATTAAGCTACTATTTCACGCTGGTATTCTGTGAGAGTGTGGTCCCTCCCCGGTCGTGCCGACCCATTCATGCTACAACTATACTTCTAATATAAGTGCAGCATGGCTCTACCACGTATAACACACATACATAGTAATTGTCACTATGTATGTTTGTTATCGCAAAATGTAGTTAATCACAAAAGAGACATACTCGCAATGCTGATGGAACTGTTACAACCAGGTAAAAAACATTGTGCTTTTAAATAATTAGTTAGCAGTACACTGTGTTGTTCTGGGTGCAATACATTACTCACTTCAGATTGCAACAAGGACTGACTAGATGATTCAGATGGTTCCCATTCTGCAGTTGAAAGTGATACTGTTCTATCAGTTCATTGCCAGCGATTATGATATACACGGCATGACAACGGCAACTGAAATAATGTAAAATACAAAAAATGAAGTCAAAGTGAAAAAATAAAATAGATTTGTTTATTTCAAACTCAAATATAAATAAAATATTTATCAAGTTAAATGTTACTGGACAAGGACGGATTTAATGCCCTATATTATTTAACAATTAAGGCCTGACAGACTACCAGCAGTCCAAAAACAATGAAAAATCAACTGTCTCCTTTCTTGGTAGTTGATAAAAATGGTCAATCTCATAAATAAGCTAGTATGTTTGTCAGATATAGCTAGTGCAGATGTGAAAAAAATAAAACAAGTTCTTGAGTTGATATACAATCAGTGTAAAAACATGTATAATTATCAGATATGAGGATCACACTTAATATATTGAAAAATGCTAAACATCTTACCTTATCTTAACTCACGTGGCACAAATTGTTCCTCACGTGGAGAATCGAACCCAAACAATGTGTGTGATCTTATTCTTATAAGTGTCAGTGCCACAGCCGATGTATACATGTTCAAGACGAACTATTGGTGCATTTTGCGAGTGGCACACTACACGTTCACTGTACTCGAAACTTGTACCTAATAAAGAAGCTACAATTATTATATTGATATTATTCAAGTAAACTCAGTTATATAGCATTTCTTAGAGGAAAACATGCCACTTCGTGATATGTACCAACTATTTACCTGCTGTGTTCGAACCAATTGTTGAGAGATCAACAATTGCATTTTCCAACAAAACAAAATAACACGCAATTAAATTCTTGTGACATAACAGTGACAGGGGCCTACATGTCAGATTCGATGTTGCCACTTAACTGTCATAAAATCTATGAAACGATATCGATTTTTATTCGATTAATAATATCATGAAAAGAATAATCTTTGACGCGTTTTAAGTTCTGCACGCTTTTTAAAATATAATTTCCTTTATTTATTGAAATTCTATTTCAAATGTATTTTTAGGAACAGTTAGCTTGTGCTGTATTGTTTTGTTATGCTTTAGAGAACTCGTGGTAAATCGGCTAGAAATTAACTTCTTGAATTATCATAACATGATTCCATTTTAAATGTTATGTTAAAAACAGATAAGAATAACAGTTAACTTGTGCAGTAGCGTTTTGTTATACTCTAAAGAATTCTTGGTAAATCAGCTAGTAATTCGCTTGTTTAATTATCATAACTATAAATGTGAAGGTTGTCAATGAATTCAACCGAGCCTATAACAACGGTTGTTTTAGTTTTTAACGGTTGACTACCGCTTTTGATGACTTGAAATGGATAAAAACCCATTTTGTGCAATAAGTTATTTCTCTTTGGTAATGAATAAACCACAGGAACCCCTATAATGTATAATAGTCCTTTTTTTTAGACACAAGTAGCACATTTTAAATAACCGCAAAAACAACTTTGTTATTTATACAAACACTATGAAAAACAAAATAATTTGTTGCTGGCGATAATGATAGTAGTATTTTGACTCGATTTAAAATATATGCTTGTTACTACAGAACTCTTCATGGGCCTGCGAGTCCGACTCGCACTGAACCACTTTTTTTCAACTTCTAGTTTTATTTTAATAAATAGTTTTTTCGTTTAAGCGGAGCTCTTTTACTTTAGATTTATTACCTCTTTATCTATAATAATCAATCTGAGTAAGTAAAGTGTGTAAATACGATTCTTAAATTGTAAAAATAATAATTGGATTTGAACATCTTAGGTAGGTATTTAGTTTTATTAATTTAGAAAATATTAATCTCACAATTAATTATTGTAATAACATAAATGTATCACACAGCTAACGCCCTCATTAGCAATGTAAAAGTAAAATAAAGTTACAGCCTATATACATCCCATTGCTGGGCTCAGGCCTCCCCCTCATTTCTGAGAGGGTTTAGGGCAAGGAAGTGTCCGCCGCGCTGCCCAAATGCGTGTTGACGAACTTCACATGTCTTCGAATTATTTTTTTTCTCTTATTCCTCAGACATGCAGGTTTCCTCACGATGTTTTCCTTCACCGCCGAGCACATGGTAAATCAGCACTTAAAATTGCAATTAACAATTTCATTGGTGCCGGCGGGGATCGAACCCGGGTCACTCGCGTTCTGTTATATTTACAGCGAGCGTTAACCACTGAGCTACCACGGCTCAGTCTCATAACAATCTAGTGGTGAAAGAATTCTCAAAGTTGGTCAAGTACTTTACGAGTTTAGCGAAAAAAATATTCTTTGATAGTAGCGCCCTCAATAATAAAATGCATCCTACGTTTTTAAGCACCATAGCAAAAAACGATTCAACATAGCCTAACCCGCACACACAGTAAAAACATAACAATCCTTTTTCGTCTGTAGTCGGATAAACAACTGGTTAATAACGGTTGCGTATCGGCTGCTTTGGATAAATATGCATTGTCAACGTTTATTTTAAACCTATATCATAACATTGTAATAATTATCGAAAAATTATATAAGCATTGTAATAATGACACCATAAGTAATCGATGGAAAAGGGGAATCGATTTTTTAATGAGATTTGTGATTGGCAACACTTTTTATTTTATTCACAAACTAATGAATTAATGATTTACCTAATTTTAATCTTATCTTTTCGGTACGGTAGATAAATGAATATCGTGATTAATAATCATAAATAAAGATATATTTTTTTTAACAAATGCACATTGTTGGGCGTTCCATGGCCGAAAATGGGCGATCCCCTTTGGAAACGATTGTAACGTCAAAACACATCTCGTGTTGACATTTATACGTGTGAATTGACGTGTTAGTGACATTTTAGTGGCTACGCGGGCTCCGCCCACTCCCATGTTCTATTATGTATGTATTATAGTATTCTACATAGATTACTGTGTATATATACTTGGTATTTTATGTAGCAATGTAGAGGAGACTTGCGTCTGTCAACTTTTGATAGGCTGTAATGAAAAAAAAACGAGTAGTAGAATATTATGCCTTTTTTATAGAATAAGGGTGACAAACGAGCACACAGTCCACCTGATGGTAAGTGGATGCTGTGGCCCATATACAAAATGCAGATGCGTTGTCACCCCTGAGGACTGAGATGGAATGCCTCGTTTCCAGTAAAAAGGGTTTCCGGTTCTCTACACTCGCCATACGAAACACAGCAGCATTACGCTGCTATTTTACGGTGGTACTCTGTGAGAGCGTAGCCCTACACCGGTCGAGCGAACCAGTTCGTGCTACAGTCATAATATAGCTGCAGCATGGCTCTACCACATATTAAAGATACCAATGGATGTTTTAAATTATAATAAGGTTTTTTATGGTAAACACCTCAGGCTATATTATGTTTATTCTTTAAATAATAAGTCCTTATCGTAATTGACTGGAAGAAGTAATCTTAGATCCCAGATAAATACACTTATAAAATTTAGTTATATCTTTGTTTCAGAACGTCCAACGTAACTGGATCAATACTCATAAATGGTAAAGAAAGAAATCTCCGACGGTTTCGGAAGCTCTCCTGCTATATAATGCAGGATGACTGCCTTCTACCTCATCTTACTATACGGGAAGCGATGTACGTTTCAGCAAATCTAAAGCTGGGGAAAGACATGACAGTTACCGCCAAGAAAATTGTGATCGATGAAATCCTAGAAATGTTGAGTCTTGTAGATGCAGCTGACACTCGTACGATAAATCTATCAGGCGGCCAAAAGAAACGTCTGTCGATAGCTTTAGAGTTGGTTAACAATCCACCTGTGATGTTCTTCGATGAACCGACTTCAGGATTGGATAGTTCGTCATGTTTCCAATGCATATCGTTATTGAAGTCGTTAGCAAGAGGCGGCAGAACCATTATATGCACTATACACCAACCGTCCGCGCGATTGTTTGAAATGTTCGACTTTTTGTACACGTTGTCAGAAGGGCAATGTATATACCAGGGAAGAGTTTGTGGCTTGGTACCCTTTTTATCGTCAATGAGTCTACATTGTCCGAGCTATCACAATCCTGCTGATTATGGTGAGTAAAAATAGTTTAATCTGTTATTAGTAATTTAGTAGAATAGTAAAAGTATAATTTCTTCAAACGTGATATGATGAAAAACAAAAACTCAAAACAGCCAGAATAAAAGATAGTTAGCTTTCTCATAAAACTTAAGCTTTTTTATACAAATAATAATCATGTGTTTGTGTACCGTTGCTTCTATTTTAATATTTAATATTGTTGTTATGTTATTGTTCACTGGATGGTAAGTGGATACTGTAAGTGTAACTCATAGACATCTACATCTATTCTCGATTAAGAATCAAAATGCAGATGAATCGTCACTGCTGAGGATTAAGATGTAATTCCTCGTTTCTAGTAAACAAGGTCTCCGGTTCTGTACACTCACCATACGAAACACATTATTTTACATTGGTATGTTGTAAGAGCGTGATCCTTTCCCGGTAAAGCCGACCCATTCGTGCTACAACCGTAACAAACATGTGTCTACCACGTAAAAAATGATTTAGTACAATTGAACAAAAAACACATGTTCTAGTTACACCAAGAGTTGTTATAAATTTAACAAAGCGCGAAGCAACCCGGTTGCATCAATGCCGTAACTAAGGAAACATTCGTGAAGTAATTCTAAGTGCTGATCCACTATGTGCTTGGCGGTGAAGGAGAACATTGCGAAAAATATACATGTCTTAGGAATAAGCCATTTAGAACCATTAGAACATGCAAAGTTCGCCAACACTCAATGGTTCGAAAAAATACTTTTTTTTATTTGTTTAATACATAAGTACATTTGTTATAGAATAAGGGTGACACACCAGCACACAGACCACCTGATGGTATTAAGAATCAATATGCAGTTGCGTTGTCATCCCTGAGAACTAAGACGAAATGCATAGTTTCCAGTAAAAAGGGTCTCCGGTTCTCTACACTCACCACACAAAACACAGCAGCATTGAGGTGATATTTTACGTTTTTATTCTGCGAGAGCGCGGTCCTTCCCCAGTCCCCAGTAATATAGCTGCAGCATACCTCTACTACGTAAAAATACATTAACTTTTACACCTGTCATCCATAGAAGTAGGGTAATTTAACTACAGGCTTCCATTTGGCATAATCCTGACACACCTTTCTCGCCTCTTTCAAATCTCTGTATCTACGCATACATGTTCGTCGGTCAAAGGCACTCTTAATTTGGCATCTTATCGGCAATTTGATCAATACATTTTCTTAGGTACCACTTGACGTGCCCACCACTCACTCACAATATGAATAAAGAAAGATGTTACTAATACTTTAATTTTTATATTACAGTGATGGAAGTTGCGACGGGCGAGCACGGTGATTGGGTGCACAAGTTGGTGATGGCAGTCAACAAGGGATACTGTGGCCGCGGGCAGTCATCAACATCGTCCTCATCATCGTCCGTCCCACAAAACTTCAACTTTAACAACCAAAGTAAGAGCAATGTGAAAAAAGTAGAGGCGTTACAAATTGTGATAGGTGAGTTTAGATTATGTTTTTTTATGTTCTTTTCTTTGTTTTTCTCCTTTTTTTTTGTCTCCTAATTTCATCAGTAAATCCTTTTTTGTTACTTAGAATATTTCATTTTCTATGTTTTTATCAATTGTTTTTTTAATTAAAAAAAGATATTGAATATAAAGTCACAATTGGGGGACTTATTTATTCCTTTAGGAAATAATTATAAATATAAATACACACATATCTCACATACATATATATACATGCACGTATAAAAATATACACTAAACCAATATAAAATTGTGAATATAAGTCTTGTCCATAATTATCGAATTTGTTAATAATGAACCGCAGTCTCGATAAAACAAATATAACGTTTGAGTATGTTCTCAATCGGTCAAGTCGTTCAAAACTTAAACAGTCAGTAACAGCTTGCTTATTATATATTAGGTACATATTTATACCTACCATTCTATCTATAACGCATAGTTTTTTGCTATTTCCTATTTCTATAGTCTACAGAAAAATGTGTTCAAAAGTCTAAAGGTTTTTTAACAATAGAATTAGTGTGACAAACGAACAAAGTCCACCTGATGGCAAGTGTATACAGTGGTCCATAGACATCTACATTTAACCTCGATTAAGAACCAAAATGCAGATGAGTTGTCACCCTTGAGGACTAAGATGGAATTATGGAGTGTAGAAGTAAGGAGTACAGACTGTGTATTAAAAAGTGTCCATAGAAAACCGTTAAATAAGGGTGGCGCCACTATAGCTACGGGGTATACTTTAAAGAACGCACCGAAAAATATTAGTGGGATAGACGACTTTTTCGAGGTTATATTTATTAAATAAAATTATTTTAGATTTTAGAGCTACTGAGCGGTTTAGCAGCACACTTAAACCGTCGAGAACTGCTAAGTTCATTTCATTCCAGTAGCTACTACAGCGCTATTGTGGAGAATTTTTGAACTGTTATTTACTGCTTACAGATGGCCACTTTTTCAACTATTCAACTATGGGAGTTGGTACTCCTTGTTTCTATACTCCATAGATGGAATGCCTCGATTCCTGTAAAACGGGTCTCCGGTTCTCTACACTCACCATACGAAACACAGCAGCATCAAGCTGCTGCTTTACGATGGTATTCTGTGAGAGCGTGGTTCTTCCCCGGTCGAGCCGACACTTTCGTGCTACAACCATAATATAGCTGCGATGTGGAAAACGATTCTGGCAATCTCTATAACGAGAGAGACGCATGTATAGCTGTGAATTTTTTGTGTGGATAAATAAAAAGAAGAAAAATAAATAAACAAACAAAACTGCTAATAAAAATCACAGTCGTTTATTAATTATTAATAAATACTGGTAATTAGGATAGACATATAGAGATTTACGAAAAATCTTTAGCGTAATACAAGATACTTCAGGAATCTAATTAAAATCTAGAATGTAATGATAGTAACAAAAAAAAATATAGAAAAAAATATTATTGAATGAACATGGTTTCAACGAAGGTATTTTTCTACTTCCAGATAAACCCACCTGCACTGTGATAGACATGTCCGAACCAAATATAAACACCGAAAAACAAAACGCTTTACCCAACGCCACAACCCTCGCACCAGTGACTTGCACCACTTCCCTACTTGACTCAAGTGAAAGTTTCACGAAGAAACCTGTCAACGCTGGTTTTCCTACGTCCGGCTGGAAGCAATTCTGGATTTTGTTGAAACGGACGTTCAGGAGCATCTTACGTGATCAAATGTTGACGCATTTGAGGCTATGTTCGCATACAGTCGTCGGCCTGTTGATCGGGTTCCTGTATTACGATATAGGCCATGACGCGGCTAAAGTGATGAGCAACGCTGGCTGTATATTCTTTACTGTGATGTTTACTATGTTTACAGCTATGATGCCTACTATACTTACATGTAAGTTTATTATTATTACTCTTTTATAGAATAAGAGTAGTAGTTTAGTAGAATTAGAGGGCCAAAAGAACACACAGTCCATCTGATGGTAAGTGGTTGCTGCAGCCCATAGATGCATCTGTCGCCGATTGAGTGTCAAAATGAGGATGCGTTTTTACCCCTGAGATCAAACATGAATTTTTTCTTTACCAGTAAAAAGTGTCTGTTCTCTTCACGCACCATACGTAACGTAGCAGCATTATTATGCTAATTCACGCTGGTATTTTGTGAGAGTGTGCTCCTACCCCGGTATAGCCGACCAGCTATTTCGTTAGCATAGCTACAGCGTGGCTCATCATCGTAATCATCATTACAGCCCTTCACAAGTCCACTGTTGAAAATAGGCCTCCCACAAGGAGTGCCACAATACACGATCTTGAGCCACCGGCATTCATCGATTTCCTGCATGTCTTACCAGGTTGTCACGCCATCTAGTGGGGGTCTCGCCATACACTTCATTTACCGGTTCGAGACGGCCGCTCGAGAACTTTTCCCCCATAGTTGTCGATTCTTCATATGGCAGGCCCATTGTCACTTCAGCTTACTAATCCGTTGGGCTATGTCAGTCACTCTGTTTCTACTGCGGATATCATCGTGGCTCTGTTACGTAAAATTATTAACAATTGTTTGAAACATGCTAAGACTCTCACACTATTTTATTTTTAACAATTACCATTAAAAATAAAATAGTATGAGAGCGAATGTACAATTTTATCTCTTGCTTACGTATAATAAACATACTACACATTTAGCGTGTCGAATTTATAATTCGGCCGTACCCTTAGATATATCAATATAATTATGGTTGGATATGCATCTTAATAATCAGCACGTAACAATCCTCCATTGCAAGAGGGCCTGAGTCGTTGTAGGAAGGATTTGCTTAAATTGTCAAGCTTGCTAGGATGATGGACGAGTGAAGTTTCGGCTTTGATGCTGCTGCTAGTCGTAGCTGTGGGTTAAGTATTGTTATGATAAAAATGGAAATAGATATCTATCACACATCAGTCAGTCATCATCAGACAGATTATCTGTCATAGTTTTCTGAGGTAGTCCAGTTGTTTGTCAAATAAAGTCTGTCAGACAGTTGAAAAACTCAATATTTGTCGAATAAACAATGTCTGCTTGTTTATTGGTGGATTGAAAATTACGGCCTTATGTAGAAAACATATTGTTTTGTATATTTCACAGCCTTTGTTTTTTTATTTTCTACGGGAATATAGTTTGTACATATAAAAACATGCAAAGTAAATTACGTTTCTTTATAAATCCGGGTGTCCCCAGAGCATGTTGTTTATTTATGCGGCTGTATGTTGATATACTTATACTGTAAGTTATGAACGAATTTTATATTTGAATATTTTGTAATTAGATAATTAATTGAATAAACAGCCATCGATAAAATTGTACAAAAAATAATAAGAAATAATAACACCCGGTTACAATTTAACTGCTGAACATAGATTACCTTCAAAGAATGCCACAAATCACAGTCCTGAGTGGCATATCCTGCATCCACCAGCCTCCTACATCTTTTACCAAGTCACTACTCTATGTAGTAGGAGGCCGTCTTACACTTCGCTTATTGCTACGAGTCTGTCACTCGGAAACCTTTCTTCCCCATCGGTTTACGGTTCTTCGAGTTATATTGCCACTTCAGCTTAATGATCTTTTGGGGTATATTGCTTACAATGGTTTAGTTGTGGATAACCCAATAACTAAATATATCACGCAGAAAAATTCCAATTAAAGCTTTCTTCGCAGCTCGCCGAACGACTTTGAGCTTCCTTATACGGCCTTCAGTGATGACAACGTCTCAGATTCATTTTATGTCATAACTGGCACGCACTGGTTGCGCACTTTTATTTTCAAGTTTTGAGATATACGTAACTCTAGTCGCTATCTCCCGATCGCTGCCCAGCCCGGTATTATAGTATGGTAATAATTGATAATAAATAAAAACTACTCTATTCTAACTTTATTTTATATTTTTATTGCAGTCCCAACAGAGATGAGCGTGTTTGTGCGAGAGCATTTGAACTATTGGTACTCATTGAAAGCGTTCTACTTCGCGAAGACTATGGCGGATTTACCGTTTCAGGTACGTTATGTGTTTTCGCATTATTTTTTATAGTTAGCTGCAGGTGTGAGAGAATACTGTAAATTCGTTTGTCACATGACCTCTTGGAAACTTTTGGACGGTATTCCACCTCGTATATACAGAAATTAACATCCTAGTGATTGTTATATAATCCTCGATCGGACACGAAACCCAGCGACAAATGATCGAGTGACCTGCAATGCTAGTCAGGTTGACCAAAGGCGAGACCTAGGTTCGGCAGTGGACTTTTGATAGGCTTTTAAGGTGACGTTCATAATGTATCCGGAATTATCAACGATCAACACACTTGCTAGGCGAATAAGCGGTCGAAATAGGTACCAGCGGTGTAAGTCAAATTGACATTCTACTATCTTCAACGCCTATAGAAAATTATTAAAGTGTATAAAATCAACGATAAATCGCATGAACGTCATGTGACTTAACGTTGACATATGTCATTCATTACAAATAATTTTCGTATTAGCGTTAATGATTGCAGAAAGTGAACTTGGCTTACCCCGCAGGTACCTACTTCGATCGCTCATTCGCCTGAGAAGTGTGTTAATCAGCAATTCTGTATATATTCTAAACCGTTCATTTTTCCTATATAATTTTATGTATAGTTTAAAATATTTTCTTTCCACAAAATCTAAGATCATGCTTATCAAATCGCTCATATTACCCATAATTAATTATGCAGATGTGTGTTACCCGAATCTGTCCCATGACCTTCTGAACAAGCTGAAATGCCTTCTCAATAACTGTATAAGATTTATTTTCGGGCTTCGTAAGAATGACCATATTTTGCAATATAGAACTAAACTTAATTATTAATATGTACTATTTATATATGTATATATTTTTATGTACGTATCTATGAATAGGTTATATTTGTATAGTGTGTTTGTTTTATATATCAGTAAAATGTATGTATTACGTAGTTGATTTTCATTAATTTTTTTTTATTCTTTACATATACGTCAAATTCTCACTCTATGGGTTGACTGGTAGAAAATACCTTAAGGTGAAAGCGCCGGAAGTGCGTCCATACATTTTTTAATCAAATTATACAATAAACACAGACACTCTTTCTTTAAACCTAATCATATTATCACTTCTCTACAATGAAATGTGTACGCGTTTGATCTTTATAGGCAAAAACTTACATTATATACTGAGAAAAACAATAGTGATATCCCGGAAAAATTTGATACTTCTTTAGTAGTGTGCGTGACTTGACAAGCAAACGAAAGGCGGCGAAAGGCGACGAACATTGGCACGCTAGATGGCATGCAAGTATTATTGTTGTGTGGCAACATAAATACCAGAACTCGTAGGTAGAGCGACGATGCCGTCCTTCCTGACCTTGACTTGACGAAAAAAAAGCGTTGCCAAACTTCGTTCACTTGTTTGACTTGTTATAAAATACATTCTGATTTCGGTTGTCACGCGCTATGATTTGCGCGCGGAATTTCTTGTGTATTATACATATTTTGTATGCATGTTTTCATTGATTCGAATTGCAATATTTCTCTAGTATATATTTGAGACTATATTGTAATTTATCGTAGGTATAGTAATTAATTATTCTAAAAACGCAATTACGTTTTTGTTGTATTAGAAACAGCAGGCTGGCCCGTGATTTTTCTGAAATATCGTCACAATACTGATTACCTACGTCATACGTGTCAGTGTTTCATATATGAATGTGTTTGAATATGTTTTTGGTCAACAATAAATACAATTATTATAAATCGGTAAACTACCAAAGTAGTCACAAAATTAAACTTGCAAACATTTGCTAAATATGGTTTTGCCGGGTTACATTAAACACCACAGTTTCAGACAGACACACATTATTATATAGCCGTGGTAGCTCAGATGGTTAACGCTCGCTGTAAATATAACAGAACGCGAGTAACCCGGGTTCGATCCCCGCCGGCACCAATGAAATTGTTAATTGCAATTTTAAGTGCTGATTTACCACGTGCTCGGCGGTGAAGGAACACATCGTGAGGAAACCTGCATGTCTGAGGAATAGGAAAAAATATATTTCGAAGACATGTGAAGTTCGCCAACACACATTGGGGCTGCGCGGCGGACACTTACTTGCCCTAAAACCCTCTCAGAAATGTGAGGAGGTCTGTGCCCAGCAGTGGGACGTATATAGGCTGTAACTTTACTTTACTTTACACATTATTAGTTAGGTGCGTTCAGAAACAAATATAATTCAGTTACATACTTTTTTCTGTTCCGTGCTTTATTATTTATAAATAAATAGCTTATTCTAATCTGAGTTATATTTTTCTTATACGTCGGCCAATTCTACCAGGAATATAAAGATAACATTGAAATAAAAAGATAAGTAAAGTTTTGTACATTTTAGTGTTCTAGATCTTGTGTTCCGAACGCAACCAAATTCATATAGAATTGAAGGAAGATTTGTATATATATTGTATATTTATATTTTTATTTTACCAAAAGCTTTTGTTGAGTGCTTCGAATTAGGAAATATTATTTTCACCTTCCTGGTTATTATCACAAAGTAAATCGTGTTATAGATTTGTTGTTATCTCTTGTTTATGAATTATAGTTTCTTAGGTGTTGGTTATGAAATGTCTAATGATTGTAATAATTGGTACTGTTACAAATCATCAGTGTTATTAGTTTTGAGTGAATAAGCATGTTTCAGCATAATTATGGTGCTTCAAATAGGTACTTCTGTTTTGATAAAAAATTCAATAGTGTAATGTAATAAAATAAAACTGCGTTATATTGTAATCAATGTTGACATAATTTATTTCCCAAAGTTATAAATCAATTAAATAGTTTACGCCAACAAAGATAAGTTTTATTTTTATAACAATCGTACATAGCGTTTTGTAGTTCTGCCTACCCAATCTACACATACAGAAAAATTAAAAACTTACTTACTACTGACATACACGTCATCTAGTGTTCAAGATTCGTAAACGTAGGGATACGTCTGTGTGTGTAAACGACACTATATTCAATGGCAGATGTTATAATCAAGCTTTGTGTCGAACTGGGTAGATTTTGAGGCAATGATATGACCCATTCCAATAAAATGTAATATCCGATAACCGCAGTCTACTCCTACGACTTAATAATTTTCCAATTACACAAAAACCCAAATAAACTAAAAATGTTGACTTCAGCGCCATCTTGCGGGAGAATGACTGGGAGCAGTTCGTAGGTTTCGCCTTAAGGCATGAAGTCCAACCTTTGTATTCTTTTAATTTAAGGAATGTAATAAGGAAAAATATTATTTACAGTAATAATATATTTTTACTTTCCAGATCGTGTTCAGTGGCGTGTACGTGATAATCGTATACTTTATGACTGGGCAGCCGATGCAAACGGACAGAGTGTTAATGTTCACTACAATAAACATTCTGACAGCGCTGGTCGCCCAATCGCTAGGCTTGCTCATAGGAGCCGCCATGAAAATCGAAACCGGAGTCTATCTCGGACCTGTAACGACCATTCCCGTCGTTCTCTTCTCCGGTTTCTTCGTGAACTTCAACGCGATACCAAGCTACTTGCAATGGTTAACATACCTCAGTTACGTCAGATACGGTTTTGAGGGCGCAATGTTGTCAGTCTATGGATTTGGAAGAGAGAAACTTCACTGCTCTGAAGCATACTGCCATTTTAGAAATCCAGACATGTTCCTCAAGGAGATGACGATGGATCATGCAAATTTCTGGGTCGACGTTGCAGCGTTGAGTGCTTTCTTCGTTTTCATTAGAGTAATTTCATATTTAGTTCTAAGATTCAAGTTAAAGATGATGCAGTAGAGGATATTTATGCACAAAACGCGAAGCTTCGTTATATGTCGGTGATGTAAACTTTTCCGTTTTTTTCAACACGTTGTAAAATGCACGACGTATTTATGTATGTTTAAGGATGACTGAAATTGGAATGTCAATAAAGGTTATTGCACATTTGTTAGCACGGTACATGTGTACGTTGACCCATATTTACTGGTTTCTCTTCTCTCTTTAAAGAGGATTATTAAAATCTTTGTTCTGCTTACAGAAATTCTATCGGCAAAAAAGATAGCCCAAATCCTTATCAGTACAAGCTTACGTAGAAGCTAGATACCTCCCTGATCCAGAAAATGGACGGCAGCTCTTCCTAATAAAAACTAAATTATAAAAGTCTGCGGTTGCGGTTAATTCGCCTGCCAAGCGTGGCAAATGTGACAAATGTCATGAAAACAACTGTGGACTGTGACAAAACACCAAAGTGGCGTGTACATGCGTACGCGCCGCTTTGCTGGTTTTCTATCAGTGAACATTCGGATGTGCGGTGTGGACGTCGAATAAACTGGAATGAGACGCGTGCGTGTACGAGCATACATTGCGTACAGTGCGGACAAATTTGTGTTGACCTTAAATTTAGCTCAGTATCTGTTATTTGCGTATTGCTATTGTAACTGGTGTGTTTGCGTACGTATTGTGACGGTTAGTTAAAAATGTAGAACTTTAATAGTTTTCGAAATATATAGCTTTATAGGTCGCAATAGTTTGTTTATACGTACACAATAGGTTAGTAGATAAGGTTTTATAGACGATCGGGCCCATGACTTAATCTTAAGTTACGTAAATCGTAATGAAATGATATTAATTTTGTTTCTATTTATAAACTCGAGATGTGGACGTTTCTACTTAATATATAATATGCGTTTGACGGAATGGCATCTGTCAGAATGTTACGAAATATCATAAGATTAGAATTTCTAGGTACATAAATGAGTGTGCCATTTTGACAGAAGCCATTTTGGAAAAATAATATTTACTCAATTTATCATTACATTCTAGATTTTAATTAGATTTCTGAAGTACCTTGTATTACGCTAAAGATTTTTCGTAAATCTCTATATGTCTATCCTAATTACCAGTATTTATTAATAATTAATAAACGACTGTGATTTTTATTAGCAGTTTTGTTTGTTTATTTATTTTTCTTCTTTTTATTTATCCACACAAAAAATTCACAGCTATACATGCGTCTCTCTCGTTATAGAGATTGCCAGAATCGTTTTCAGATCCACGCTGCAGCTATATTATGGTTGTAGCACAACTGTGTCGGCTTCATCGATGTTGGACCACGCTCTCACAGAATACCAGCATAAAATAGTAGCGTAATGCTGCTGAGTTTCGTATGATGAGTGTAAAGAACCGGAGACACTTTTACTTGACACGAGGCACGCCATCTTAGTCCTGATCTAAGTACTTAGTGACAACGCATCTGCATTTAGATTCTTAACTAAATGCAGATGCGTTGTAGTAGTCTATGGGCCACAGCATCCACTTACCATCAGGTGGACTATGCTTTGTCCTTCTTATACTATTAAAAACCACGCTTGGTGGGCTGATTGACGATCACAGTATGAGATATCTCGCACGTTTGGCGCCGTCAGTTTAGATATTTCACGCTTGGCTTGAACCAGATGATTATATCGACATCTATCGAAAGCTAAGTGAACTTTTTGAGAGTTTATATGGGCACCTCTTCCGACGATCATGGAACAAAATGTGGTGATGGATTCTCTGTTACACCGCCAGAACACGGCACCCTTAATTTTTCTATACAATAGTGTTTTTTTTTATACAATAATGGTGACAACTGAGTACACAGTCCATCTAACGGTAAGTAGATGTAGCCTTTAGAAGAGAATTCACATTTACACTAAGTTATAAATCAAAATGCAGATGTCTTGTCACCCCTGAGAACTAAGATGGAATGCCTCGTTTCCAATAAAATGTCTCCGTTTCTCTACACCAACCATACGAAACACAGCAGCATCAAGCTGCTTTTTTTACGCTGGTATTCTGTGAGAGCGTGCCCATGTAAGAGCACAGTAAGCATTTTAACAAATGAATAGTTAACTTATATAGAACTTAACGTCCGTATAAATTTATATAAGTTCACCGAGCATGAGGCTTTATATTGGCATTTCAAAACCATTATGATGCTTTACACTGTATACGGTTGAATATTGGCATATCAAAATGCTTTTGTAAAACCTAAGTTTTAGTGCAGCAAACCACAACGCAGCTGTAGAGCTTTCAGTTGTTTTAGTACATTTGGATCTACAATAGCATTTTTAAATCGTAAATAAATGTTTAATGCTGTTTAACAGCATAAACATGAAACGTCATATCTCCACGTAAAAGGTCTATACAGCTTTCAACTGTTTTTAGCGCCTTAGGGTCTACAATAGCATTTTTAAATAGTAAGATAATGACTAATGCTGCTTAGTAGTTTAGACTTGCATAATTATACTGCACCGTAAATGCGTTATACAGCTTTGAGCTGTTTTTACTTTTTAGTGCCCTTTGTTGTATAATAGCACTTTTAAGTAGTTAGTAAAAACCTAGTACTGCTGAACAGCATAAACGTGAATCAATGTAATGCTTGTATTTCTTAAGATCAACTGCGTTCTGTTGTACAGCTGACAGCTATTGGGTCCTTTTTTCCATATTGTTGCGCGCCTAAGTTGACGTCTGGCACTAGCGCCATCTAGTATCGGGTAACAGAGCGAGGAGAGCTTTCCAGAAAGTGACATGACTAATCTTTCAACCGACAGCACCATCTAGTATCGAATTGAAGAACTAAGCTTTCTAGAAGCCCTACACTCGAACTTTCGGCGCCTGGTCGATTGGCGCGCGTATTTACTTGAATATTCTGGATGTTTCGGTGAAAAGGCGTATTTAAAGGCGCTGCAATACGCGATCGGGGCAGTATTGAATTTGGAGAGACAAGCGAAGCTTCGGAGCGAAATAAAGTGAATCAGTGTGATTAATTATTAGTGTCTTTTAAGTTTTAATTAGTGTAAAGTGAAATAAAGTGTTAATTTTGGTAATTTCATCGGCAATTTTTATTCTCACGAACCCTAAGCTCGTAACAAATGGTGTCAGAATTGGGATAAAATCATGCCGATTTTACCTAAGGAGGAAACGGAGGGTGTCCGTACCCGAAGTCAACGCCAGCAGGAGACGGACCAAAGAAGATTTGGTGGTGCAACGCCGCAGACGTCGGAGGGCCAGCCGCCGGCTGCAGGCCCGTCAGTAGCTATTACATGCAGCACCTGACTTAGGTGCTCTGATGGTGATGCTGCAGGAGCAGGCTCACCGACTGGAGGAACACGTCCGTCAGTTGAAAGAGCAGCTGGAGAGCGGACAAGAGGAACAGGTCCGTCGTTTGAAAGAGCAGCTGCAGAGCGGCCAAGAGAAACAGGTATGTCGTTTGGAAGAGCAGCTGCGGGGCGGACAAGAGGAACAGGCCCTTCGTTTAGAAGAGCAGCTGCAAGGCGAACAAGAGGAACAGGCCTTTCGTTTGGAAGAGCAGCTGCGGGGCGGACAAGAGGAACAGGCCTTTCGTTGGGAAGAGCAGCTGCGGGGCGGACAAGAGGAACAGGCCCGTCGTTTGAAAGAGCAGCTGCAGAGCGGCCAAGAGCAACAGGTACGTCGTTTGGAAGAGCAGCTGCGGGGCGGACAAGAGAAACAGGTCCGTCGTTTGAAAGAGCAGCTGCAGAGCGGCCAAGAGAAACAGGCACGTCGTTTGGAAGAGCAGGTGCGGGGCGGATAAGAGGAACAGGCCCGTCGTTTGAAAGAGCAGCTGCAGAGCGGCCAAGAGAAACAGGTACGTCGTTTGGAAGAGCAGCTGCGGGGCGGACAAGAGGAACAGGTCCGTCGTTTGGAAGAGCAGCTGCGGGGCGGACAAGAGGAACAGGTCTGTCGTTTGAAAGAGCAGCTGCAGAGCGGCCAAGAGAAACAGGTACGTCGTTTGGAAGAGCAGCTGCGGGGCGGACAAGAGGAACAGGCCCGTCGTTTGGAAGAGCAGCTGCGGGGCGTACAGGAGGAATAGGCCCGCCGGCAGAAGGAACAGGCCCGTCGTTTAGAAGAGCAACTCCAACGAGATAAGGAAGAGCAGATGCTCCTCATGAAAGACCTTCACGCTAGCTTTGGAAAAGAGATAAGGGAGGTGAAAGATAAGGTTGCTCAACATGACAACCGCCTGTCGGAAGCTGAAACCCAAATCGCGAAAGCTGAAACCCGAATCGAGAAAGCTGAAACCCGAATCGACTAAGTGAACAATCGGGTTGACAACGTGATAGCTGACGTGAAGAAAACGCTGGACGACCTCAAACTGGGGGATGGAATTACAGCTCACGTAGTAGTTACACCTTCGCTACGTGGGTTCAAAGTGCTGCCTTTCGACGGGACTTCTTCCTGGTCAGCCTACAAAATCCAGTTCGAGGCTGTCATGGAGGCGAACGGCTGGAATAAAAACCAGGCCATGACTGCACTCACCCTAGGCCTGCGCGACCAAGCCTTAACTGTGTTGGAAGCTCTTGGTAAGAAAGTGACCTACGAGCATCTATTTGAGGCATTGGAGGCGAGATATGGCGACGCACACCTGGAACACGTCTTTCGCGCGCAGCTTAAAGATCGCGTGCAACGCAGCAACGAAAACCTGCAGCAGTGGGCCCTTGAGGTGGAGAAGCTGGTGCGAAAAGCATACCGGTCTGTACCTGTGCTCATTGAAGGAAACCTGGTGCAGACATTCATCGACGGCATCCGCGACCTTGAAGTCAGAGCTGCTGTGAGGCTCGGGCACCACGAGACGCTTAAGGACGCCTTGGCCCATGCACTGGAGGTGGAAGCCGTGCGGCAGGATCTTCGATCCCATCGCGTTAGGGAGGTTGCGGCAGCTACAGTTCGCGACCGCAAGAAAGGATACAGCCCTAGGTGCTATGGCTGTGGGGAAAGGGGCCATCTTCAATCCA